GGGGGAGGGGGGGAGAAGAGACTTGTTGCCGGCATAAGTAATTGCCTGAACGGGCATTTTGCGGTCAGCAATACTCTCGTCGCACCCCCTCACGATGGTTCGTGGACGAAGGAGACGAACGTGGATGCATTAGTCATCGATTAACCGACCGTTACAGGCGATGCATGTTTTGAGGCGGACAGCAAATGTTGAACACAGCGGAGGAACATGTGGGCGGCGGCGGTCGCGTGCGTTTTGAGTTGGGAAAGGAAGCTATATTTGTTTTTTGGACGTGATTCGAATAAGGCTAGGATAGCAGGGAACCTTGGACTAACATAGGCGTCTTTTTCCCGCCGGACAAGGAAGTCAGGGAGTTGATCACAAACAACACAAACATTTTGACGTGTTTATTTTCATCCCCCGAGGGAACTCCCGTGCTGCTAGATCGAGCTCTTCTGCCTCGTCAGTTGTGGGTGCTGTTGAGCGAGGCGTAAATATCAAGAGCATGGTGCCCACAGCGGTACTTGTGGCGCTCGGCGGTTCTTTGTCGGGGTCCAGCTTTGTGGGTGTGTGTTGACCCCACCGGAAGGAGCTCCGGAAGAATTTTGCTCTTGCTAGCGTTCGTTGACGTGGCTGCCCTGATGGGCTGGTCTCGGTTCGATCTAGCGACGATTGTGTGTATGTGGACTATCGGGGTATAGTCAGCTGCAGCCCAACCGGTGGAAAAATCCTTCATTCTTCATATGAACAGTTTTGTCGACACAGCAGTTGTCGGGAAAGGTTAGGCTTCACAGCCCTACCAACGAAAGTGAGGCTGTCCACCTGCCGTAAGGGAGAAACGAATGATGCCATCTCTGTTTGCGGGCGTACACGGTAGTTAGAGGCCATTTCTCCGACTCCTGAAGCAGGTCGGAGCTCCGTTAATTTTCGCTACAAAATGAACAGAATAACCGGGAGACTTTCGTGGAAATATCAACAGCCTGTGCTGTGCATCTACCGCTTCGTTCGACCATCTTTTTTTTTTTTGTCTTCACTTCAAATCAGCGCTCACCGCACTGGTGCCGTGTACTCCAACCCGTGGTCACACAGAAGAGCCTCTTTCTACCCCCCCCTCCTGCGGTACTTTGCCTTCGATTTTTAATGCGAGAAGAGTTCAGCACTCTCTTCCCTCTGTGTACACACGAACCAGCGCCTATCCACTAAGCCAGGAGCGGAAGCGGTAGAAAAACTCACTTTGCAAGAAAAGTTCGCTTACGCCGGGATTCAAACCCCTGACCTGACCTCTAGACCAATAATAGAAGGTTCCGAGGATACCAACTGGACCACCGGGGCGACCGGCCATAGACCCCGTTGAAGTACTTCCTCCTCAACGAAAGACTCGGGCTTCAAGCTTCGAAATCCGCGGAGAGGGGGGGAGAGGGGGCGCGCTCTCGAACAAGACAAAAAAAGTCGAAGAAAAAACCAAAATCATAGGTTTGATGTCATTCACTCGTATCACATACCGTGCAGAAGCTGTCAAAGGTAGAGCAGATGGGCACAGACATCTCATCAACGGCTTGCTGCAATGAAAGCAGCCCATGCAGCGTGTCATGGTAGCAAAACTTTGATCGAAAAGGCCAATGTGCGGTGCATCAAGAAGGCGAGAGCACTCGCTTTTCGCAGAACCCCTCTAGCCGAACCCGACCGGGTCAAGTCCGGTGTACATCGCAACAGATATATCTACATGTCGGCAATCCTTTGCCGTCAAAAGCAGAGGAAGACGTGGGCGTCAAAGACTCATGGTGCAGAAAAGTTAACGGTTTGCCGATAATCCAGGGTATCTCAGAACACCAACAACCTCCTTACGTACGCATCCGCTCCACAATACATCAGGCCTTAACTCAACCCATCTCACAATTTGGAGACCTTGACACGGCATCATGACTCGCCCTTGTATCTCTACAGGAAAAAATGTAGGGCCACCAAACGACCCGACCAGACAACATCCCACCTCTCAACCAACAAACAGCAGTGGGGCGTCAGTCGTTAAAGCAGACCGCTTCTCCTCCGAGACGTGGCTTCATGGTATCAGCGGCCCGGCAGAAAAAAGTGCGTCGGTGGGGGGTGGGGCAGCAGCACTAGGTGAGGCGGCTGCTGTTGCTGAAGGCCTTGTGGCGGCTGCATCGGTTGCTGCTGCTGCTGCTGCTGCTGCTGTGGCGGCAGTGGAGGCGGCGGTTGCTGGGTGTGTGAAAACTCTTGCTGTCGGCGGGGTGGTGGTGGGTGATGCATTGCCGGTGCAGGCCCCTGCTGCTGCGGCGGCGGCGGCGGTTGCATCTGCGGCTCCGGGTGATTCTGAAAATGTTGCCCCGCCGGGGGTTGTGGAGAAAGAAGCACCTGCTGTTGCTGTTGCTGCTGCTGCTGCTGCTGCTGCTGCTGCTGCTGCTGCTGCTGCTGCTGGGGCGGAGGCGGAGGAGGCGGATGCTGCTGCTGACGCGGGGCAAAACGAGGCGCCTCGACGTTACCTTCGGGGAATGCCGCCCCGCTGCCCTCAACACCCCCGTGGAACCGGTCCCCGAACTGGTCCCCACCCGGCGGTGGAACCCCTGGGTCGTAGGAATGGCCTCGCACCGGCGGTGGCGGCGGCGGCGGCAGATGCACGTCCACGTCTGCAGAGGCCGGTGTGACATACCCGACGGTTTCGTGCCGACGCCAATCGTCGGTAAACCCGCCGCCGTCGGTCCTCGTCCGGTCGGGACTTCGCTCTCGTTTTCCGGTGCCGTAGTCAAACCTTTTTTGGGGGGGGATAGGCATCAACCATTGAAGTACGAAAGGAACCAGATTGATGGTGCATGCAGACCGAGGCGAACAAGAGTGTCGTCACTGATGTGATAAAAATAAACCAACACTTCTGTGCATTCAACGACACTGGTTGCATGCACTGGAGCGGATGATACAAGCGCCACTTTCGACACATGCAAAAAAAAAGGTCGTCCGGTATTCCCGAAGACCCTCTCAGCGACGGCGGAACCATTCCAGCTCACCCTGAATCGCCGCTATCCCGCCTATCTTCGGAAGCTTCGCGGCCGGCCCCTGCCCCGGACGCCCCCCTCCCCCGCTTCGAGTCCCTGGACGTGCGCCTACTAACGGCTGCCTGCGAGCGGCTCCGGCTCCGGCTCCGCGAGAGCGTGCCTCGCCGGCGTCTGCGCCTGCTGCCGTCGTCACGCGTAAGGCTGTCGCTTCTACGGCTCGCATTGCTAGAGCTGCTCCTACTAGCGCTAGCGCTCCTTCTCCCCCCTGCCTTTCTCACGGCGTCTACGAGCTGCTTCGCCGCCGCCGGCGTCAGCTTCGGCTTCCCGGTCACCGCGTCCCGCTTAACGGTAACCTCGCCCGGGTCGTACGCGTTAGGGTCGAACTGGTCGGGGTCGTAGGAAGAGTCTCGCCGCTCCAGCCCGTCGCCACCAACAGACAGCCCAGTCCCACCCGGGCTGCCATCGCTTTCGCCGGGGTCAGCGCCGTTGCGATCCCCGCCCCCTTGCCTCCTGTCCGTCTCGTAGTCGCTGCTATCTCGCCGCCGTCGTCGCCGCTGCCTCCGGCCATCATCGTCCTGCCGCCGTGGCGCCTCCGCGTCACCCGGAAACCCTCGCCGTCGGCCTTCTCCTCCGTCTGCCCCGTCCCGCCCGCCCCGGCGAGAGTGCGGCGAAGGAGCCGTGCTTCGCCGCGGGGACCGCAAGTACGATGATGACAATGATGATGCTTGCGAGCCGTACCGGTGGCCGTTGCGCCTGTTGCCGCCGCCGCCACCACCAGCGTTGCCTTGGGAGTCCCCACGGCCGCGAAAGCCACCTCCGCCGCCGTGGCCGCCGTTGTTCTTTCGGTGATCATTGAGGATTGCCCTCTGCGGCGCATCATCCCCCCGCCTGCCGCTGGCCCACCCGCGGCCATCGTCCCACCGTCGACCCCCCTCCTCCCCCGCCCCTGTTCTCCCGCTTCTGCCTCCATGATGATCTCGTCCGAAGCGACGAAAATCGTCGCGCCTCTGGTTACCTCGGGAAGGGGGGCTCAGAGAATCGTCCCCGGGTTTCCACGGCATCCAGACCTCAGCGTGGGCAGGCACCGAAGAAAACCGTCCCCGTTCTCCCTCGCCCCCGCCGCGGCTTCTGCTTCTCCGCCTGCCGCCGGCGCCGGGGCCTGCGCCGCCGACCCCCCCCTTCCACTCACCGCGGGGCCCCTCATCGCCGTGAGGGTGCCCGCCTCGAGGAGGCGATATCACCGCCTCCGACACCACCGGAACGGGTGGCTGCTGGCTCCACGAAGGAGGCAACGTCGACGACCACGCGGCGCTCGGCCCCCCCCCCCCCCCCCCCCCCCCCCCCCCCCCCCCCCCCCCCCCCCCCCCC